AGAATAAGGGTGCATCTTATACACCGGTGCGTCTTATATTCTGAAAAATACGGTAGTTAGATTTACCATTTTTGGAAATTATTTCATTACTCTATTACTGAACTGTTTTTTAACATTACTTGTACTTTAAATGTTTTCTATAACTCTTAGATACTTGTTTGTGAAGCTTAAGTTTTAAAGAAGTTCATAGATCATTGTAATATACAAAAACAATGAATTTTATATAGTAGGTATATAGTTAGTTTTATGAATCTAAATTCAAAAAATGTTTGAACTTTTAGTAGGTTTTGTAGAAGTCTGAACTAAATATTGTAAATTTTTTTCCTTATGGCCACTCTGATGTATATTTGTGTTTGCTACCAATAAAACATGCAGAATTACAAAGAAAGTGATATACATCTCAAGACTGAGCTATGATTTTATTAGTTGAATTTACAGATATATACATTCCATGAAGAATTTTGATAAATGGTAAAGTATCTTAGCTTTGAAAATAGGTACATCCTCCAGCTAAAACCTATTAAGAAGGGGAAGAGCTAAGTTTCAAAATATGTAAACAATTTGTCTATCATTCCTTATAGCATAGTTCTACCTTATGCAAGTTTTGAAGAAATAGTCTAGTAATGCCACATTTGAAGGTCTGGGAATGTTTTTTAAACTTTTGATATTTCTCTTGTTATCTGATACTGAATTTGTTTCCATTTGAAAGCTAAGAAATATTGTTTGACAAAAATTCAGGTAGTGATATTTAGGGTTAGAGAATAAGTAGGCCTATAGGTTTGTGTAAAGCCATCCAATCATAAGTCCTTATTTACTATATGAAATTATGTATGTTTTAGTGGGTTATATAATTGCTTCAGTGAACCAAATATATACTTATGAAAATGGAAAAGATAAATTTGCTAATTTAGATAAATTATAATTGATTAGATATATAATTGATCTTTCTGATCAATAGTGATAAGAAAGTTCCTGTTTCACATTTTTTGTTTTTCTTTCATAAAAATGGACAGAAAATGCTTAGTTATATTGAAACAAAAACTGTTAGATATACTTACGAGGTTAAAGCACACATTAAAAAAAAAAGGTTACAATGAAAGGAAGTAATTTTTTATTATTTTTTGTAAATAATGATTGGAATAGAGTCTATAAAAATGTTCATTTTACATTATTCACTAAAAGTTTTCTTTACCTTGCATTCTTTGATTATTTCTTATTTGTACATCATTCCTGAATGTATTAAATAAATATTTTAGTCAAACAGATTGTTTTCCTCTAATTTCCATATTCTTTTTCCAAGCAACTAAGTTGGCCACAGTTAACAAAGTTCTAAATTGTTCACTAAAGGTTCCTCTATCTTAGTTAGATCTTGCATTCTTTGATTTTTTAATAACTTTATTTGAACATCATTCCTAAGTTTATAAAATAAATATTTCTCAATGTATTTAATCAGGTAGGTGGTTTTTCTGTAGGTTTTGTAGTCTTTTTTTCCAAGCAACTAAGTTGGCCACAGCAATAAACCATGTCTATCTATTTTTATCAGTTTGTATATATGGTAAGTTTTTTTTTTATAAATTATATAAATGTGTCATATAGAATCAATTTACTATTGCATTGTTTTTGAACCCAAATGAAATTCCAGTGATTTAATCTCTATGATCAGCATTATAATCTTGAAAATTACACCTATTCATGTGTTATAATTAAGCAAAAAGAATGCATAATAAAATATGCATGTTGTGTTAACATATACATCCTCCAGTTAAAAATACAACCAAGTGTAAAATCAGCTGTGAAAACCAAACATGCAAGATGACATATGAAATAAGCAGTAGTCAATACATAGATGAGATCCATATCATGTTTCTTTCTGCCCAAAAATAATTTCTATGTAGTTTATACAGTTTTTTAATCAAATACAGTTCATTCTTTAAGTATACATAATGATGTTTTTTGTTTTGGATTGGACAACAATGTATTTAAAAAGAGGTGTCACTGTGATGGTTGAAATCTATCTGTTGCTTCTAAAATACTTGTAAATTAGGAATTATGTCAAATAAGGTTACCAAGGAAATCAAAGAATGCAAGACCTAATTAAGATAAAGGAAACCTTTAGTGAAGAATGTAGAACTTTGTTAACCGTGGCCAATTTAGATGCTTGGAAAAAGAATACAGAACTTAGAGGAAAACAAGCTGCTTGACTAAATGCTTCTAAAAATATTTATTTTATAAAGTCAGCGACAATTACTCGTACAGAGAATGGAAAACCCTATCAGTCTCAATTTCTTCAATTTTATTTTTTGCAGAACTGGTGTATGTATGTATTATCTAACCTTTAACAAATCTTTGATGATATATATTCATTTATTAATGCAGATGACTGCAGATATTCCTTTATTTGTAACCTTTTTTTACTGTAAAACTAAGTAGCTCTGCTGAGTTACATGCATACTACTGCTGATTTCTACACTACAGAGTGATATGAATTAAAGTTTAATTGCTTATCTATATGTGTAGGATTATAATACACTTCACTTGAGGGTTTTTCATTTTGTGTATGAGTAATCTCCACATAAAGAAATGGGCAGAATGTTATCTCTTTCAACAGCATTGAAAGCTTTGTTTTTATGATTTAAATGAGTGAAACATCTAAATAATACTAGATAGTTATGTTTTGAAAATGAGTTTAAAGCTCTGTCTTTAGTCTTCTACATTACTCCACTAGCAGCTTAGTATTCTAACTATCAAAAACAGTGGAAACATTATCCGCATGACTTTGTCAAATATTTTATGTTTTGAAAATAAATTCTGGACTTTTCATTCAACTTTCTCCATTACTGCATTAAGTCACTATTGAAAACATTGAAGAATCCATTGTTGTACCTTGAGTTTTTTTAAAGATATTATTAGTTGAACATAGAATAAGTTGCTTCTAAACATAATTTTGATATTTCAAACTTATGTTCTCTGTCAGAAGCTTGTATCTGTCTTGAGTTTTCCTTCTGTAGCTGGGATTGCTAAGTTCCCTGGTATAAACTTAAAGAAAAGATACCATAATCTCTTCTGTATTCACTTCTAGTTTATAAAGGTCCTTAAAAAGTGAAATTTTTTACATTATAAATGTTCTTGCTGACACCAGTGTGATGATATCAGCTAAGTAATGAAACAATGTTAGAGACAGTAAATCTTCAATATACTAAGTATAATCCACTGCTTAATTGTTGGTAAAATAAGAATGGAAACTAAACATTTTTCCTATCTTTTTTAACAGCATTAATTTTTCATTTTAAGGTCACTTGAGGAACCTGGGTGTTGAGCATTTGATAATGTCTATACACCTTTCTTGTAGAGAATCATTAGGGTTGTTTGTCACAGTCCTTCTATGGAAACCAAGATCTGTTTAAACTAGAAATATTTAGGTGTTACTCTAAAGATGAAATCTTGTGGCAGAGCATTCATTTCATGTTTCATTAAATTATGGATTGATAAATCCACTATGCACTTAGAACTGTAAATATTATATTCTTCAGGACTGTTAACTGGTCTGTTAACTTTAGAAATCTGTCTAAACTTACATATCTATTGTTTGTTTGTTTTTTTGCAAATCCAGCTTGCAATATATACACCTGGAAAAAAGTTAAGCACCCCCAAATATTTTTCAGGATTGCTTATTGAAAATAAGGTTTAATTTTCATGATGTTGAGCAATGTTCATAATTTCAAACATAATTAAAAGGATGTGAGCGTTCAGGTGTGACATTTAAATCAGGCGCGTTTTTCTCCCCACGTGCAACTTGCTCCCTTCTTCACGTCCAATATGCACTATTTTTTCGTGCATCAAATCCGAATTTAAGTCCCGAATTTCTGAATGCAAAATCATTTTAAGTAAGAATGGCAAGAAGAAGGATATCAGAGGCACAGAGATGGCAAATTA